AATGCCTGGAGGGGTTTAAGCAAGGTCAGTGATCATTAATGCTTATTCAGAATGTCAACAGAAGACAGGACATACAGAGACACCTGGAGGACAAGAACTGTAATGAGGAGAGAGTGGGACAAGTTATTGGGATAGTTTCCCCCAGAAATTAAATGTTTTTCCAAAGAAATTTAGGTCAATATTTAATGAATATCTTTCTATATTAACAATCAAATCTCATGTGTGATTTGAGCGTGTGCTTTGTGATCGGTTAAGAGACATGAGAACCAATGACATTTGACATCAAACCCGGTGTGGTATGATTTTTTTGATTATTAGTTGAATGAGATTTAAGAGTTGCAGTGAAGATTATGTAAATATAATCATTGCTCACCTTTGCACACAGGTGTTTGATTTTAAATTAACTGATGAAGATATGAGGGTGATTGAATCCTTCAACAGGAATGAGAGGCTTATCATTCCAACTATAATGGTATGAATAGTTACTGTATGCTACAGTTTTGAAATGCCTGTTGTGGCTGAAATGTTTTTGTCACTCCACAGATAGATGGGCAAGAGGTCTGGAGAGATGCAAAGCACCCTCATTTTCCTTTCAGTGATCCATATTGATAAAGCGCGATAGAAAAAAAAAAATGCAAACCTCTTAGAACTAAAGATGGCATGTCTTCAATATCCAAGTTACTAATTTAAATAAAAACACTTAATTTTTAAATGTTTCTTATGATTTTTATGGTGACCCCATCTAGAGTATGATATACACATGACAGTATCAAACACAGACTAAGATTTAATGTAACTAGAGCACACAAGTTATGTGCTAGAGGAAATCACTACATGATTTTTAAACAAGCATAAATGAGCTGCATTTTTAAAGAATGCTTTAAGAATAAAAAAAACCTATTGAATTACATGATCTTTGACCTAGAAGTACAGCATTTGGTTTATAAAAAAAAAGAAATTAAAATGACTAGTCAATTTTCACAATTTTTAAAAGCATTTAGGAGAAATAATAATTTTAAGATATCATAATCTGTACATGTTCACAGATCCCAAACATCTACAAATGAAACACCACAACTTTGTCCATTTCGTG